GGGGCATTCTGATTTTCAAGAGGTTTGTATCTTCTGTCAGCTATTAACTACCTATCTCTGTTTTCGAGATTAAGAAAAGACAAACTGACAAACGGACAACGATGTAAATTTACAAATTTAAATTTTTTCAAATTGCAGCAAATCAGTTTTTGAAAATTTCAGCCGAATAAATGTTTATATTATCTCAATTTCAAAATTTTTGAACTTTTCATATAAAAATTTCACATTTGAACATGCGACGTTTTATGAATTATTTATTTCTTAGAACATTTAAGCCTGTACTTGATAGATCAACTAATTATTTGATGTCGTTCGACTGCTTATTTTATTTAACACCAAAAGGAAGAGAATTTAGATCAAACAAGGAAACTTTAAGGAAATTAACAAAAGAGGTTCGTAAAAATTTCCCGCTATCTAATAATAATTACACAAAAAAATTTTTTAACTTCAGTTCTGTTTCTAGATAATTGCTGAAAAAATTCGACTACGTGAAGACGAAGAAAGCACGATCGAAATTAATGGAAATCGAAAATCTCTGTTGGACTTTCTGTTGTATGCTAGAGATAAAAATCCAGAACTGTCCATTGAGAGCATTTGCGAAGAGATCGAATTTTTTCTTGGCGCTGTAAGTATAGTATATATTTCTTTTTATTTGACATTTCAAATCCACGAATACAATTATCTGGTACGATATTTCTTCGTAAATAATTAGGAAACTGCCCTCGCTTATATTATGTGTAACTAAACAAAAGCTTAGTAGATTTTTTAAAATTTATTACATTTTGCAGACTGTGAGCACAGTAGTAAAATTATTGATAAGCCATGTATAATTTATAGATCGCTGTTCAGGTACTCATTATAATATACAGTAGACCTTCCTATAATGCTTAGATACGTTCCACGCTAATCGAATTTTACGTTGTAGGAATGATTAAATACATGAGCCAATCGCAGCCCGATAGGTGGGAACTTTACGGACTAAGGCTGTTCGAAAGGTTTTCTTCTATAAAATTAACCGATTCTAGACTAATTACACTCAACATCTCCAAAACACGAATAATTTTTTGGGAATAATCCGTATAAACTATGCTATAAACAAAAAATTATAGGATTACTTACCGAGTGTGTACCGTTCGACTACGCCGTTGCTTAAAGCTGGTTTTC